CGAATGGAATAAAATAATTGTAGTGGCAAACGTAAAATATTTTAGTAATTCTAGTGACCAAACATGTAATTTACCCAATTTGTTATAAATAATTATCCCGACGATGGGAATAAGGAACACCATTAACACGAATTAAAGAGAAAGAATTACACCGCTTTTATTTCGTACGCTCGAACACATAGTAGAGCGATATAACATTTGAAATAGATAGAAAGAAGATAATGAGAGCTTGTTGTGGTGTGCCCTTCTTCTACAACTATGCGTTTTTATAGGAAATGGTGATCCAATCTCATAATGATGGGGAGAAGAGGGCAGTTGGGGAAGTGGAATCAATTGACATCCACACGTATATATAATTTTATAATAAAATTAAAATAGTCAACCTTTGAGAGATCTGTAATGTTCAAGATAAAGTAAGTTGAGGGTAGAGCACGAGTATCCTGAAAAAGGGATTTTAAGAGAAAAACTGTGCTACAAATTTTCTTGTTTGTGACGAGCGATAACATGACTTCATAGGTCTATCTTGTGGAACTTTGGTCGTGTTCTTTGATCCCACTCTCTAAAAAAATTCGATTATGTTTCTTTATTATGAGACTTGAACATTTTATGAGAATAAAGTATGGAACAAGCATTGATCGGTGTTTGTATTCTTTCTCCATATTACCTTCTTTTTAAATAGGGGTCGAGCTCTCATATCAAGGATAGTTTATACTATATTGAGAGGTGTGCTCGATTTTAGAGGTGTAGTGAGAATCTTTGACTTAGATTGCATTTATGTTTTAACAAAGTGGGTTGTAAATGGCTTGTGAGTCAAATATTTGTCGAAGAAGTTATTTATGTCAAATTTGAGAAGAGACAGATGAGGAAGAGTTGCTATTAATGACCTTGAGCTCTATTAAGTTCACCATGGCTAAAGTTTAAGTAGAATGAACAGGTTGTCTTTTTCCTTTTTGAGTTTATATGGAATCTCATCATATTTAATATACATTGAGCGGTATTGGGGAAAAAAAAATTAGATGACAGTGCAGTTGAATTGCAAGTGTTTGAAGTTAATAGCTTTTGAAAGCTAATTGATCGCCTTTTTCAAAGTTTTACTTCTTAAGACAAGTGTACCTATCGTAGAGGCAATACAGTGACAAGCAATGTCGTATTCCATAAAGACTATGAACTACAAATATCGAGTTATGTTTTTTATTATTTAACCGATCTCTTCAGTTCAGTTGATTAATTAAACTAACTAACAAAGCAATGAGATTCAACAAAGACATATCGCTATTACGAAGGCAAATTCAGGTAGAGAAGGCATTGTTCAGACTTCGAATCCCCGTAATTAATTCATACCTCTTCAATTGAATCTACATAGACTCGATGTTATATTCTTTGATAGTAGGAATTCGAAAATTGGTATTAACCCAATTTTCTCATCTATTAACACCCTATTAGTCGATTCAACCTAGATATGATATTCTCCTTGACCTAATTCAATTTGCTAATGATGATCGCTCAATGAATCCCACTATTAGGCTTAAACCTATGTAGAAGTCCCTCCCCCTCCATCTTTTGGTAGCTCGAGGTCCTTTTTATCTATGAGTGTTATATTGTATATATGGGGATCTTCTCCTCCACATACATACAAAACAAGAAAGCATACAACAGGCGTGCTTCTACCGCATACTTGAAATATCATTCATAGACAAATCAAAGATCATAATCATCAAGATCCATGTAATATCAGTCAAATCAGTGATAGGGCTCATCTACTCCAAACAACAAGACATGATTAGTTCATGGCTAATGGTGAAACTACCAAAGGAGTGAAAGAAGAACTGTTTTCCATTATGAGGGACTTGATCGAATACTCCAAGGTGACTCTTTTGGGGTAGAACTCCTGGAAAACCTCTCTTCTGCTCACTAACTTGTCTCTGATCTTATTAGGGTTTGCATGCCCAAAGTCCCTCATCAATTAGGCTTAATAATGCTTAAATAGTTAAGACAAAGATTCGTTGATGGGTACGGTCATGGCCGTGAGACTACCCATGGGTGAAGTCTGCTCCCGACACTTTTAGTAACACGATGTCACTTTGGAGGAGAGATTGCCATCATTCATGATCCAGGTGACGGCCAGGGGGTTTTCACGGCCTAAGTCACGACCATGGGGTGTTCACGGCCCGAGTCACGGTCGTGACATTGGTCGTGAATGGCTCGACACAAATGTTCTTCATCTTCAATTGCTCTGCCTTCCTCACCACTCTTTGTCTAAGTCATGGCCATGGGGTGTTCACGGCCCGAGTCACGGTTGTGACATTGGTCGTGAATGGCTCGACACAAATTTTCTTCATCCTCAATTGCTCTGCCTTCCTCACCACCATGCCATAAGAAGTCTGAACAGATTTTATGCACTCGTTTGAGTACATTTTTGGGCAGCAGGAACACCTGCATCCAAAATTGCAACTCCCATAACCACTAAGGTTAATAACTGCAACCTTCATGCATAACTGAGCTTTTTAACCTTCCAGCTTTTAATTTTCCAAGTAATTTTATCCACCAACCAATCGTATTCAGCAGAAGAGAGCTTGCCTAAAACAGTGGAAGACCCAAATATCGAACTGGAAGCTTGCCCTCCTGGAATCCTTACAACTTAAGTGCATTTTGCTTGAATACCACAGAGCAACCCTCAAAATAAACTTCACATTTCCTAGGGTTACATTGTAGCCCAGATAACTCATAAAATTCCTTGAGAACACTCTGCACTACAAAAATTGCTCTAGCAGAAGCCTCAATGAATATTAAAAGGTCATCAGCAAAGCTAAGATGGGTGAGCACAACCCTTTTACACTGTGGATGAAATGGAAGAGACCCAGAAATAGCTGCAGCATTAAGAAGCATAGATAACCCTTCCACGGCAATAGTAAAAAGATAAGGCGACATGAGATCACCTTGTCTAACCCCCTCTCTTGGCCCCAAAGTAACCGCACAATCCTCCATTCACAGATATACTACAACGAGCAGTTTTGACACATAATGATATCCATTTGCTAAAGCTTACTGGGAACCCCATGATATCCAACATTAATAACAAATATTCGCAATTAATCGAATCAAAAGCTCTCATTAAGTCAACTTTGATAGCACAACGAGAAGACAACTGTTTGTTATGATATCCACTAACCAATTCTTGAGCCATTAGTATATTATCCATAATTCTTCTACCCTCAATAAAAGCATATTGGTTACCACTTATAAAAGTAAGAAGAACCTTCTTCAACCGATTTGCCAGGAGTTTAGCAATTATTTTGTATAGCAAATTAATGCAAGAGATCGGTCTAAAGTCTTCCAGAGCACAAGCAGATGGAATCTTACGCAATACAGTAATGACAGCAGAGTTGACACTAGTTGGCAACCTTCCCGAATGAAAGAAGTCTAACACCGCTGTAGTAACATCCATACCAATAATAGCCTAGGCTTTCCAATAAAACCCTGTTGAAAAACCATCAGGCCCCGGTGCTTTATGGGGATCCATATGCATCACCACATTTCGAACATCATCAACAGTGAAAGGAGAACATAAATACTCCTTTTCCTCATCACTAAGCCTCTTCTAAATCAGACCTTCTAACCTCACTCTGTTAGGATGAACATTTGGATCAACCCTGTCGAACAATAATTTGTAAAATAAAATCTGAGAGATTCATAAGCAATCTGACCACTTTTAAACAATTCCTCACCATTCTCAGTCACCAAATTCCTGATAGATTTTCTTGGCATTTTTTATTTTTATAGCTTGGTGAAAAAGAAACCTGTACTACGCTCCCCCAAAGAAAGCCAGTTTGATACGAGATTTCTGTTTATACATGCTCTCTTCAACCTTCTTAAGTTCAAGCAAACGTGTTTCCAGAACAACCACCTCCTTAAAAGCTTGTTCACAAGGATCATCCAAAGCTTTTAAATGAGCATAATGTAACTGCCATTCCATCTCCTTCACCTGTCCACCAAGATCACCATATATTTCTTTATTAAATCGTTTTAACAGCTTCTTGACCTCATTCAGTCCAGCCTTTACAACCATAATAGGAACACCATGCGCTGCCAACTCCCAAGCCTGCTAGATCAGATGAAGGAATTGAGGGTCCTCTGTCCAGAAATCAAAGAATTTAAAAGGCTTTGAAAGAGATTTCTGGCCAGGCTTCGTTGCAACAAGTATTCCGCAGTGATCAGTAAACGTTGTCGGCAGAATTTCCACTTTGCATTCAGGAAACTTATCAAACCAACTCTCATTAACCAAAGCTCTATCCAGTTTCTTCGCAATAGGATTATTTTCTTGCTTATTTGTTCATGTAAACTGAGGTCCAACTGCTTTGTGATAAAGTAACTCCATGCCGGCCACCTTGTTTCTGAAATCATCCATACAATTTGTGTTATCTCTGGGATTATAAGTTTCCCAGGTTTCAATACAGCACTGAAATCCTCACCAACTAGCCATGGAATCCCACTATCCTTTGTTTGACACTTTTCCTGGTAAGTCGCCCTTCTCTCCATTTCACCATTGGATCCATAAACAGTAGTAAAGAACAAAGATTCCCCATTCATCGATTTAGCCAGGCAGTGCATGAAATTCTTCCTGGGCAACAAAATACTAACATTCACTAAATTTGGATCCCAGAACAACCACACTCTCCCCAACTCAGAGTCCACATAATTCAAATGCCTCTTTTAGTCCGGACAAAAATCAGCCACTACCTCATCCGTCTTTATTTTCCTAACTCTCGTCTCAAGAATTGCTACTGCATCTACTTTATACTTACGAAGGACCGAGAACAAGTCCTTCCACATTAGCCTTTAATTTTTTAATGCTTAAGTTTAACTATTTATTAATATTTTTGTGACGTGTATTGCTGACTATAAAAGTTAATATAATAAATTTTGAATGGAGATGACTAAGTGATGATTTTGTATACACTCAAACATACATTGTATTGAAACGTAAAAAAAAAAAATTGGAATCGTTTTTTGAAAAGTGGAAATGTTTGTGACCATATATGCTAATTACCCCACCGCAGTGCGACCGGGAGAGAGAGGGGATTCCATTTCGTTTGTGGCAACAGAAGCAACAGCTGCTGCAGTGGGGGAGAAGTCGGTATCAGCCGTACATCTCAGCTCTGCAAGGTAGAAGATAACCGAATCGGAAAGGTCAGCCTGCCTGTTCCTCTTCTTCTGAATTTACAAACCCTATATCTGTTTCCTTCTCAGGTTTGTCTCCCATTCTTGCGTTGAGTTCCTCAATCTCATTCCGAATCTGCGGCGCCACCTCTTTCTTTCTCTTATTTCTTTCCCTCGGTTGTCCTTTTCGTATGAAGGTCGGCCGAATTCTGTTGAATTCGCGCCACATTTGTTGGCTCAATTCTCTGTGGTTCAATGGCTCGAGGGACATGTTAGTTTGCCTGCAATAAGCGGAAATTTTGAAAATTTTGCTAGGTTATTGAGCTCTGCTTTCAGGATTAGCGATTGATCGTGCGAGATCTCTGGTTTTCCAACGGTTCAATTGCTACTACTAATTTGTTGCTGCAACAGTTTTGTCCTCTTTCCCCTTTGGGGATAATTTTTGGCTTCTGTTTTTTCCTCCTCTCTCTCCCCCCGGTCAGTGGACTGTATCCGTCAAAATTCAATCTGGTTGGCTACCCTTTCTCCGATTTGCTTGAATAGTTGAGGCTGCGGAATTCTGATACATGTTTGTGTATGCATGTTTAACCATCAACGAACGGCCTTCATGCTGTTGCTTTCTCGGCTGCTTGCATTTGATTTTATCGCGGATTCATTCTTGGGTTTGTATTTGAAGTTTGGGTGTCCATTGACAGGCTTCGCGATTGGCCATCCTGCTTTGAGGGGCTCATGACATCGTCCATGCATGATCTTTCTGGTATTTATCTCAAAATCCGGTCTTGGTGATTCCATAACTGTGGCACAACTTTTTAGTTACTTTCAGAACAGACTATGTGAGCTTTCAAGACTTCGAAAGATTTTTAATTTACCTTGCTGAATTGTTTGTACCAGTCGATTCTTTGTTAGGGGCCATTTCCTTTTTGTCTTGATTGGATGTAATGGATGGTCATCGTTAATTTCATTTGGTGGCTTTTATTCTCGGTGTTAAACTCCTTGCTTGATTATGTTGGTGCAATTTTAGCCTAATCTGAGATGGCTGTAGTAGAACATATTTCTGGTGGCAAGCAGCATATCATATTTATGCATTTGAAAGCTCGTTTTCCAGAAAACAATGAAGCGGATGAGCAACAGAAAAACTCAGAAGATCAGATTCAATCTCTATCTCCAGCAGCAGTGACACATCCTGGTGTTGCATCCCAGAAGATTCCTTTCTCGCCTGCTCCACAACTTGGGTCAGGACAAGCTATGGTATCTGAATCCTTTGTAGTTGCACGTTCTGTATATATGTGGTTGACTTGTGTGTTTCTGTTGTGTTCCTTTACATCTGATAGAATCCTTGCTTCTGGGTTATAAACAAAGTGGAAATGTCGAAGTATTTATGTGTTCTTGTCCTGTTTAATTAAAGGTACCCCAAGCTTATCCCTATCCAGATCCTTACTGTAGAAGCATATTTGCTCCCTATAACTCCCAGTCATATGCCCCGCAGCCATATGGTGCGCAATCTATGGTAAATCGTTTCGCTCTTTCAATGGTGTTACCATACATGCGTATTTCCGGCCTATTTGAACGCAGTAGTTGGTCAGGTTTTTCGCTTGGAGTTCCTTCTATTCTTGTTCATACTTAACAAAAGCATTTTCAGGTCCATGTTCAACTAATGGGAATGCAGCAAGCTGGAATGCCTTTGCCATCAGATGCAGTTGAAGAGCCAGTATTTGTTAATGCAAAACAGTACCATGGTATATTGAGACGCCGACAATCACGTGCGAAAGCAGAATCAGAAAACAAAGCTCTTAAGAACAGAAAGGTAAAATATGCCACCCACAATAGCAATTCTGCAATGTTTGTGACTTCTAATTTCCATCTTTTTTTCCTGTTTGCATCATAATCCATAGGTTCTATGTTTTCATGCTCCTGTTCCACTTTGATAATCTGCTCCTTCATAACAGCTCCTTGTGTGCAAGTTTAATTTGCACCTCTAACTGGATTTCGTGGATTTAAGGGAGATCACAGTCTTGGCCGTGGATTTTGTTTTGATATGTGCTGCAAATAATTGAAATATTGAATTCGTTCTGTATGCTGTTATCCATTGAATTGCCTAGTTTGGTTTGTACTAGAAAATTTCCCTCCAAATTCATGTGGTATGACTTGCAATTGCTACTCACTTTGCAGCCATACTTGCACGAGTCTCGGCATCTCCATGCAGTGAGAAGAGCTAGAGGATGTGGTGGCCGGTTCCTCAACTCGAAGAAGAATGGGAATCAACAGGAAGAAAACAACACTGGATCGGGCGATAGGACGGAATCGAACATCAATTTGAACTCCGATAAAAGTGATATGGCATCCCCTGAAGGAAGGAGTTAGTACTTTAGAATAGGGCAAGAGGCAGTGCAAGCAAGCGATACATGACGACGACAAACATACAGTTGTTTAATATCATGCTCGCTGAGAGGGAACCCTATATCCACCACTCTGGTCACGTAGCACGATAGCATGTATAGCAGCATCTTTTCTCCAGAGGCAGTGAGGTGTTTAGGTGAGTTCCGGCCTTCCGGGGCAACAGGCATTGTAATTAAGGATCAGAAGGGTAAAAAATAGGTAGCTTGGAATGGGTTTTATTTAGAAGAATTCTCTATTTTGATGACAGGGAATAGAACTGATACCGCCAACAGTTTGCTTCTTAGTATTGCCCGATGTAGTGTCAGGCTGGCAGGTTCCCTCGTCCACGGGAGAGTCTCTTCTTGTCTAATAGCTTCGAGTATGATCCTTGAACCTTTTTGTCTAATAGCTCAGTTGAAGCATTGTAGTCTTAGTAAAGAATAAAGATGGTTGCAGTGCCCGCGACATTTGCAGAGCCCGTGAGCTGTGTAGACCCTCCTGGAAACATACGATCTTCACGGTTTGGGTGTTGACATCATGGTCTGCTAGACGTGATAATCTTCGTTTGGCGGTGATATTCGCGCTTTTTACCATTTCATTCCTTTTTTGCCTTCTTTCGTCCGACTTTTGATCTCGATGTCAAGATTACTCTCTTAGGTCCGAAACATGACAAAACACGAATAAATCCTGTGTAAATTAGCTCCAAGGACGGCATAAACACATCAAACGTCACAAGTAAAGGGTACAAAAGTGCGTAATCTAATCTGCATCAGAGAGTAAAGATAATTGATTAATTTGTTTTCCGAAATTAGTAGAAGTTATATTTTCTAAATTCCCCCCTATCCAATGGAGTATATTATGAAGAGATGATTATTGACCCATCATATTGATGAAATCAAACCCATAATGGCTTAATCACTCTTCGGATAGCATCAATGTTGAATCATTATATATGTTCATCCAAATAAAAAAAATCATTATTGACGCTTGTATACATAACTAAGTTAGCCAACTGCTTGCAAATCAATTATCCTGTAAAATACATACCCTCCCATCATATTGATGAAATCAAACCCATAATGGCTTAATCACTCCTCAGATAGCATCAATGTTGAATCATTATATATGTTCATCCAAATAAAAAAAATCATTATTGACTCTTGTATACATAACTAAGTTAGCCAACTGCTTGCAAATCAATTATACTGTAAAATACATACCCTCCCTTTGGGTGTATGACTGGCAGAGCTCCAAACCTGCAATTCTTACTTCCATTACCAGAACTTAAACCCTAATTAGTATTGAAACTTTACAATACATCAATATAATATTTGCCCCATATATATAGTTGGTGTCAGATGTTTGGTTGTGAAAACCTTTTCCCACACTTCGTTTCTCCTATTTATAGCCATCAGTTGTAACTGCTCTTGTAACTGTCGGCTGGCCGGTTGCCTCAACCGCCTTGGGGTCCCATCACCACCTTGATAACTAATTGGTAACCTTCTCGTTGTGTTCACTCCCATTGCCTTGGGGCCCCTTGTCATGTCTTGGTGACTGGTTGGTACTTGATGGCATCGATGTCAGGTTGGTGGTGAGTGTTATCACCTTGTCGTGTCCGGATTGTGGTTGAGACTCTTTGGCTTAACCTCCATGACGAAGTCACGATCACACCCTTGACAGACCCCATAATTCCACACTTAGATTTTGTTGCTATCGTCTCGCTCTTCTTGTCTCGGGACCGCCACATGTTTGATGATACGAGAGAGCCTCCTCCATGATGGCTTGGTACCACCATATCCTTGTTAAACTAGCCTATTTCCCCACCAAGGCTTTCCATTTAGTCTTAGGGAGCTCCTCATGGTTCTAACTTGTCATCTCAGTGTCAAGCCCATCGTGTCGGCTTCATGCTTCCTGATACCCTACTCCCTCCCCCTGTCGGTAAGCCACTCTTACAACATTGTTAGTAAGCATATCTCATCACTTGTTACCCCATCAGCTTGACACAAAACCCGTGTTTCCAACTTAGTTAGTCTCCATATGTCCCCTAAGGGGCTCAATACCAAGTCCTCTTGTCAACTCGGATACCTTGGCAGACAAGTCTCCACACTCGAGGTTCCATACCTAGTCTTGAGAATCTAAGAATTGTCCACGATGGCTTGGTACCTCGTCAGATGACCACCTAAGGTGGTCTTCAGACTTAGTTTTTTTAGAGCTCATCAAGTTAGGACCTTGGCGGCCTACTAGCCACCTTGGGTTGGCACCCTGCCAGCTTGATCTATATACTTAGTTTTTTGGTAGGTTTGATAACTTGATACCCAGCATGTCTTGCCAGCTTGGTACCCTCTTTCTTGGCTACCAAGCCAGTCTTGCCAACTTGATATCCTGACTCGGTTTGTGTATGTCTCTCTAATTGGTACACGGATTGGTACCAGTCGCGTTGCTACCAAGTCATCAAGACTCCAGAATTAGCCAAATTCCATATCTTGCTACCAAGTCTGCCTTGTCGGATTGGTACTCTCTTGGCTGGCTATGTTTAACGGCTTGGTATCCACACATAGTACCAAACCTGTCTTTTCGGCTTGCTGCCAAGTCTGCCTTGTAGGCTTGGTACCTTGTTTCCTGACTAGTAAGTATGTCTTACTGGATAGGTACCCTATCGCCTTCTTACCAAGTCATCAGGACCCAGACTTAGCCAAATTTTATAGCTTTCTACCAAGCCTGTCTTGTCGACTTGGTACTCTATTGCTTGGCTACCAAGCCTGTCTTGTAAGGTTGGTATCCAGACTAAGTTTGGATGGCTCTCTAGTTGGTATCGACTTGGTATCTAGGCCTCGAGCGGATTGGTGTTCTGCAGAGAAAACTCAATGATGTGTTGGAAGCCAAGAGGGAGAAAACCCGGAATGAGGAGCGCGAAGCTATCCACGCTAAGGCTCGAAGTGAGGTCGAGGAGGAATTGTGAAAGTCAGCGGATGGTCATGTCGCTGAGAAGAGGCAGACCATGCTCACATGTTGAAGGAGCTATGCCCGGGCTTTACGTAGGAGGATTTGGTCAAACTTCATGACCAGGAGAAGGTGGAGGTTGTCTGCGTGGCTCAAGCCAACTCGATTCGTTCCTACAAGAACTCTATCGCGTTCCAAAAGGTGCTAGGAGATTGCATGACCAAGGTCGTTGTTGCCGTGCGTAAGAAGGTCCGCCTGGAGAATCCTGGTATGCATTGGAACACCGTTGTTGTGTTGACACATGTCCAGTGTTTCATCATCGAGAAGCGGCAATGGACCCGGACACTGAGTCAAAGAGTGAGACAGATGAGGCAGATTAGACGGGGGAGGGAGTTCCGCAGAGAAGGTTTTTATCGATGACTATGGTCGAATTTGTGGTCGTTTTGGCTATATTTATCATTTCTTTTTGTAGACATGTTTTGGGATTATCCTCACTAGTTCCAGCTTTTGATGAAATCAATGTCACTTTTACCGTCTAATTCTGCGAACATAACTCGCGACAATCTCTGTCTCTTATCTCATTTTGAGAAAATCTTAGTTGTTTATTTTGTTACATATAATTGTTATTGCATGGGATTTTGAGCTTCTTTGTTTACGTTCGGTTATTGGGTTAGTAGTAATTAGGGCTAATTACGTTAGTCCTTGGGGATTTAGGGCTCCGTTTGGGTGGCGGATTGGGGTAAGGGCCGAGTGGTCAAGGTAATTGTTGGGTCCGCTAGGGTAAAGGCTTAAGCATTAGGGTTTCTCGTTCTATAAATACTTAGGTTTAGAACCGTTTGGGTTCGGGTTCTGGGCCTGGCCTGTAACCGTTTCCTTTGCCATATTGGATTAGCTAACACACATCGTGTTAGTGAACCACGTAAATCGTGTGTCTGTGTTTTTCGATTCTCGCTTTCGTATTCTTACTTTATCGATTCCGGCGGTCTCCCTATCCGTAGCAGCGCGTTTATAACAGTTTTGTTTCATTTTTTGGCCTGTTTTATGCATTTGGCTTGTTGGATGCAGGTTATGCACTTATGCCCATTGAAGGCTCTGCCATGGCAAAATACGACACACTCTGTTCACAAAGGGGCTCCTATTTCACACTCCACAACTCCTCAATCGTCGCTTCCATCTTGCTCTCCACCTCATGCACTACATGCATATCTTTTCGGTCTCCGATCGATTCCTGTGTTGGCGCAGGCATTGGGCTTCACATGTGGTGGCACGTGTGGCAGTGTGAGCCCTTTCACCAACTTCATCGTTGATCGGTTCTGGTGTCGGAGCAGGCATCACCCTAACTCCATCTTCGCCGTCTCATCCAAAGACCCAAACCCTATCCTCAACGCCTGCTCCTTGTCCGCCAGAAAACCCTCCCTTGCCTCCGCCTCTGGATCCTCCTGTGGACTCTAATGGATAACTATGCTTCTCGCCTCCTCTCTCGATGAAATCCCGCAAATTAAATTTTAGGCCCCGTTCTAAGAAGGTCCTTTGCAGCAGCGCCATCCTTAATGCAACCGTCGCAATATAGGTCAGTAACCATTGGTTACTCACCCATGAGTAACTAAATCTGGAACTTTGGATCTAACTGTGTCAAGAAAATCCAGATCTAAGGGTTGTGAATTAAAAATATTTTATTTTCTCTAGTTTTCTTAATCTGCTCTTATGTCTTATCTTCTTCATTCTAATTCGGATTTCAAATTTTTTTTTTTTTTTGCACAGATGAAACGAGTTCGTTGTGCTCTACAAAATGAGATCCATTTTCAATATTTTTTGAGAATTTTTTTTCATACTTTTCGTTACCAACTTCTTACCATATGGTATCTCTTTCATTTTAATTCGTTTTTAAAATATTTGCATAGAAGGAACGAGTTCATCATGATCTATTGGATCTACAAATTTCTGGTTAAAAAAATACATGAACAAAAAATACCATACTATACCACCCTGGTATGGGGGTTGTAACTTGTGGTACACAATGATGAAAGTCGTAAATGACAGTTATTATACTCCTACTATCATGTATTCAACCATCCTACAGTCTTGGTATGTTAATACCACCATGATATGCTCTTATTTAATACTAGTCAATGCCATATGGTATAGATTCGTAAAAAATGCCTCAATTTTTTTTGTTCTAAAAGTATATCAAAGTGGATATCATTTTGAAGAGCACAATTAATCTGATTTATTTGTGGAATTTTTTTTTAATTCCGACTTAAAATAAGAGATAAATCGTTCATTAAAAATTAAAGGAGAAAAGATTTGAGCATACTATAAGAGAGAGAATGTTGATGTCACGCTGATGTGGATGAGTTACTCATAGCTACTGACTCTAAGGTTACTGACCGGATCTGCTCCCGATGCAACCGACACAAGTGTGATTGTTCGTGACTAAGGAGGAGGTCGAATTTGGATTAAAATAAAAATAAAGTATAGATAACTCATAATTGGTGAGTGGGAGAGGGAAATTAAAATGAATTATTGTTATTTTTATGATTTTTCAATAGTCCCAATTTTGAGGTGAAAATTTAAAAATAGTTATTTTTATTATTTCTTATTTGGTAGGTCATCCATTTAACGGTCAACTATCTGACTTGATCGCCATGCAGGGGCGAACCCAGTTGGAGGGAAGCGATGTCTCGGGACACCCCTAAAGTTTGAGAGAAAAACTAATCAACCCCTTGTAGTAGTTTGCGTATGGAAAAACATAAAAAAATGATATTATATGTGATTCAAATCTATAACATAATAGTTATTAGTGAACATCTTTTCTATTTTACTACACTTCATTCATTGTTGTAATGTTTTCATAAATATAATTATAAACGTATAGTATTTATCCTCTATTTTTCCAAAGTCTAAAACTAAACCCACAAACTATCCCTTTCTCACCTTATTATAACACACAATTTTATCTTAAAGGTTTTGGTCACCTTTCCAATTTTTGTGTTCTACAAGATTTTGAGAATTATCGTCATTGTGTTAAAAATGACGAGCCATTTTGCGGATTAAAAGGAACTAACTAACAATTTAATGGTTTTCTACTAGCTACCAAGGTTCCCCAGCAACGGCGCCAAAAAACTTGATCACTTCAATGCGTGCAGATTATTGTAAATGGTTAGCACGTGTCAACAACTACCCCATCCTAAATCAAGTTTAACCTAAGATGGTAATGTCTTATAGTGGTAAACAAGGTTGTATTTTACTCGGGTCCTGGTACCCTAGTCTACTTTCCACCTTGTTGCTAATTAGTTAATAGATTTTGGAGGTTTTAGTGGAGGACTTGAGGAGATTACTAGACTAGAGATTGATCAAAGCTAAAAGCAGGTATTTCGGGCAACTCATCCTCCTCCTAGCTTAGGGTTACTATGCATACACAAATACTTAGGGCTATCGAATGTGGTGAGTGAGCTCTTTTCGTGGACTTTTGTGGTTATCCACATGCCTCTGAGTACGCCTCCCCTAAACCCATATAAAGTCACCTCGATCTAGGCTATCATATATGGGGCATTGAGCTCGTAGCTCCTTTCATTGGATACTATCCACCATCCACACCAAGGTTTCATCCCGGGTTCTATCTATGAAGGCTAACCTACAGCAGGGGTCGGTCGCCTCGACCACCATAGGTCCCTATTCATACATCTATCTCGATTTGCTTGATGGCGCATTCCCGTGTAATCCTAGAACTTCATACCCACCGTACGTAGAAGCATAAAGTAGGTTAATAGAGAAGATTATGGAGACTTACCCAAACACAATCAATGATAGAATAGCAATAGAATCAACTAGATAAACACATTAATTCATTCAAACCCTAAAATATTCTTACATACATAATAAACCCTAAAACTAGGGTTTGGGGTTTAGAACCCCTAGTACTTTAGAGGACTACTCCATAAAGGAGGGAAGAAGAAACATAAAAGAAATTGAAGAACACTTGGGTTGAGGAAGATGATCCCTCTCTTCTAGCTAGGGCTGGCTATTTGGTCTGGGTTTTTTGGTTTTACCCGAAACCGGACCGTATAACCCGAACAGAGACCGGATCGGGACCGGATAGTAAACAATCCAATCCAATCCAATCTTTGGGCTTATATTTGAGGTAAAAAACCGGATAAAGACCGAATAAGAGAGCTCAACTCCCAAAACTTAAGGGTAATTTGCATAAACGGTCACAAACCTTTGCACTTAGTACAAAACTTAACCAACTCCTCACCCTTTCAGGCCTTAGGCCACTCAAATCCCCACAATCTCAATATAAAATCAAGACCGAATTGGGACTGGACCGGGTCAAGACCGGACCGGATCAAGACCGGACTGTATCCAATCCAATCTTCGGTCCTTATATTTTCAAAAAGACCGGACTGGACCGGATCAATTTGGGCCAATTTAACCGGACCGGACCGTATAGCCACCCCTACTTCTAGCTCCTTCTCCTTCATGTCCTTCTTTCTCCTTCCTTCAGCATCTGTCTCTTCTCTTTCTCTAAAACTAGAAATTTCTCTCAAAATCAGCTCATCTCAAAGGGGGAAAGGGGTCTTCTATTTATAGGCAATCTGGGGACGGAGAAGTTCGCGGCCAGAAGCACAGAGATCGTGATAGTGATCTTCAGAAGTGAGATTGCGATCTTGAAACGTTGTTGTCCTGTCCTTCGGAAATGAGGAGATCGCGGATTGACTTCGCGATCGTGATCCACGAGTCGCGGCCGCGGTCTTCCTCTCGCTCAAATAATGTTGTGGTCATGATTCGATTGTGGAAAGTCTTTGTTTCTCCCAGGCTCCTTCCTCGCGAAGTTCGCGCCCTGAGCCCTCTAATTCGCGGCCGCAATCTTCAGCTTGTCTTTGCGGTCCAGGATCTCGGCCGTGATCTTTACTTCTAGGCCACTATCTTCAGTCTTCTGCCCCATTGCTACACTTGTGACCTTGTTTTGTACATAATTCGCATATATCGTCGAACACACCCTAAAATCACATCGAATTCAAATAGGAACAGAAAAGGGATGCAATTGACGGTGATTAAGCATTTATTTACACGAATTGGCACAAAACAAACCTCAATATGACGGGTAAATAACACCAATTTAGGTGTTATCACTTAGTCTAGCAGCTTGCACTCCTCTCATTGATAAATTAGTGGCTAGAGTAAAGAGCTGGCAGACAAATGCATTATCTTATGCAAGGGGTGCATTGAACTTGTGGGAAATGTACTATACAGCTTAACTTAGTTTTAGATGTTAGTGTTTCTACTACCAAAATCAGTCATTAAAGAGCTGGAAAAGATATGTAGCCATTTTATTTGGGGAGTTGAAGCTGAGAGCAAATATGATATGGCAGAAGCTTACCTTTCCAAAAAATAAAGGGACATGAGTAGTTGGAATGCAACATGTATAGTGAGACATAACCCAATTTTCGTTTGCCCCATGGTGCAACATAACCCAAATTTCGGTAGCCCCATGGTGCAACAGAAAATTTGTTGCTTTTACGAGGTTTTGAATTTCTTTTTCAATATTTTGACGGAAGAATTCCTCATTGGAGTCGCTACTTATGATTTGGACATAGTCCCGAAAATCGCGGCTCCAAAATGTCTACGATGGAGTTGAGAGTGAGGGAGAGTAAGTGTTTTTCTCTTTCTTTAATCAAATTGGTGTTTACTTGTTAAGGGGAAGTTAAAAAAGGACAATAGGATAAAAGTGTAATTTTAGTGTTTTTTAGGATGATCGATAGTAATTTTAAGGACGATCTTTATCGATTTCCTATGGACAATTGTGTCTGACTGGGCTTTTGTTTTAAAGCCTAAAGCACGTTTTGTGCCTTAACCCAGCAGCAAGATCTGCTCGATTTATTTATTGGTTTAGGCCCACAAACGTATTGGAATCTGGAAACAGTTACAAATCCTAGGCTCAAGCCCAAATATCTGTCACTGCTTTATCTCTCCACCTGGGGCGTCTCTTTGTCCCGACTGGGAAGTAGAGAAGTGCTGCAGGCAGGGAAGGAATAGGTACTGATGGAGCCAACTGGGGAGAAGGAATCCATAGCAGAGGCTTCCAAGGAGGTTTCTCGGGAGTTCAGAACCCTAATCAATGGCGATGATTTGGATAACCTCAAGCAATTGCAGCATCTCATGTACGTTTCAAGCTCTCTGTCCCTCCCTCAATCCGATCTTCCCGCAAGTACGCCGATTGTTAAATCTGTCTTTCGGAGTCGTTTCTGATTCCCGATTTCACCTTGGCCGGAAAACTATATGCCTGTCTCCGGTGAATTGTAGACACTGCAGCTTCTTGTTACTGTTTAAGTCGAATCACCACTTCAATTCTTTATATTCTTCACCAAATTCAGTCCTTGAAATGGATTGTAATTGTTAAACTGATGGTCCTCTCTCCTTGGATGAAATTTTCAAACTGAGGGGCTTCATTTGGTCACATCTTAGACGAATACTCTCTCATTTGCCTACTATGGAGTTCTTACCGAGTCCTGCTACGGCCATTAGAGATGCTTATTTTACGTTTTCTAGTTGAATTTGCATACCCTGGAAGATATATGGGCAATGTTTAGAAGTAACATGGCTCGGTTGCGTTCAAGTGTGGAGATTGAGTCTGTTTAAGGACTCATCGAACCTCAGACTGACTGCGCAAACATTACTGTAGTACGTAGGCAATTACTGGATATCCTATTTGCAAGTTTAGGTTATAGTTTCGCCAGATTTTCTTCAAGGAAATGCCTGTTAACTTCAGTTGCATCTGATTGTTCGTTGCATTGTGGATGGCAGACTTGGGAGGCTGCAGGACAGCAATGCAGTGTTGACCCATTTTAACGACTATTCGGAAAATTGCTTCACTGAGGTTTCCGGGGATTTTTACAAGAACACTCGCCTGCTCAAGTCTATGAAGTCTGACCTTGATTACATATTTCTAAGGCTAAGGTAAAGACCGATTGCTGTCTATTCTTGATCCCAGTTTATTTGTCTAAACTGAGTACTTAATTTAAACATGTGGTGAGTAATACCAATACCAGCTGCAGAATGATGTCTTTGTTCAGCTGACTGAGTTGGCTTTGTCAAGCTTTATTGTGACATGAAATATCACTTGTAAATCTTTGTTGCAACTGAAGTCTCTTTTTTTTTCTTCTGTTTTTTCCATTCTTCCCTTCTGCCTTGTTCCTTGGTTCTGCAGAACTATGAAATCGAAAATCTCGGCAGTCTATCCTGATGCATTTACTGACGAATCAGCGAAGCAAGTAGAGGACCGTAGACCGGATCTTGAAGCGCCTATGGAACCATAGTGTGTTGGTGCATTTAATTTCCTGAGACATATGCCTCCCAGCTTATTCCTTATGTTCTTTTCTTCTTTCCTGTTGATATATAATATAGTACCCTTACGACATTGTTACATTCTTGCATATCTGCACGTAATCTTGTAGTAGTAAAGGGATTCCATTTGCATAGAAACCACAAGGTGGCAGTTTAATGAAGATATCACGCTGTGCTTCATGTTCTGTTATAGGCAGGCGGGAGTTGAGTAAAAAAAGGGTTAGCAAAGGAAGCATCTTTCACCAGTGGAATCTCCCAGGCAGATGGGTTTGTTACTACGTTCTTCTCTACTTTCTCTTTCAGTTGTAGACATGGGAGATGTCTCTCGCCTTTCATCCGATCTGTTGTGGACTTGTGGTAAATCAAAGCGTTTCCGTTCGTTTATGTACTTCTTTTCCAAACTATTACCTCTGTTTCTCTGATAAAAAAGGGCAAAGATTGACCCTCGTCAGTCGCGTGCACTGTTTTTCACTCATGTAATTCAGCCCCGATGCCTGAACATTCTACTTCTAGCGCCTGCCTGTCTGTCTGCTGTGTTCTCTTTCTCATGCAAATAGGATATATTATTACATTATTATACTAGCACTTGCTTGTGCTTTGGGGTGAATTAAAAGTTATAATATGCTTTCAAATTAAAAAAAAATTATAATTATTCTTGTAGAGTTACGGTATAAAAAAAAAATAGAAAAGCAAACAGTGGCGGACCCAGGATTGTTGGAGAGGTGTGTCGCCGATAAAATCCAATAATAATTAAATTAAATTAAAAAATTAATTAGAAATTAAAAGAAATTGTAAACGAACCACGGTGACTTTTCATCTGTTGAAATGTCTCTAAAATACATTCATCACTTATGCTGCAAAGTCAATCTTTTTCAATATACACACCTAAACAATTATTCATAAATTGGTCACTCAACCGATTTCGAAGATCGTTCTTGATTATCTTCATAGCTGAAAATTCCCAGGCAGATGGGTTTGTTACTATGTTCTTCTCTACTTTCTCTTTCAGTTGTAGACATGGGAGATGTCTCTCGCCTTTCATCCGATCTGTTGTGGACTTGTGGTAAATCAAAGCGTTTCCGTTCGTTTATGTACTTTTTTTTTATGAATAAGTTGTTTTATTCATCAAGAAAGGGAGGACCAAATGGGAAACCCTCCCTAACTGGCAAATCAAGCACCAGACCAGTACACGCAATACTCAGAACAGTACAAGCTCCATAAAAGAACTAAAAACAACTAAGACTCAGCACTCACCACCACCTAAACTAGTAACAAAAATCTCAGGAACTGCAATAGCTACTTGAGGGTATCCAGTCCTTAGCAGCTGCAGCAAGCTTTGTAACTTGCCAATAAATTGTCCAACATCCAGCAACTCTCCTACCATAACCCTTCGACATCTTTTCCTCCAAAGTTCAGCCACCACCATAACCCACATCAGCCTCCCTCGATCAGATGCAGTACAGTTCATCCGAAATAGGGATACAGCAATCGACAGGGACTCTTCCCATCTATCACCTACCATATTCCTTTCACCAAACACAGCCTGGAGCACAGCTCTCGAGTACAAACAGCCAAAAAAGAGATGATCTCTAGACTCATCAGCAGAGGAACACAATGGACAGGTGTAGCTAGTAATCGAAGGATTCCACCGCCTCACTTTATCAAGTGTGTTTATTCTGTTCATGATGACCAACCAGACAATCATCTTGTCTCTAGGAGTCCCGAATGATTTCCAAACCAAAGAGTGCCACAAGACCTTTACATGCTTAATACGAATAGCATCCCAAACTTTTTTAACAAAAAATTAGTCATGATACTATCATCCCAAAACACACCTGCCGAGCTAACCTTGATGTGCTGTGCAGCAAGAGGTCTAATTTTCAGCACTTTTCTCCAGGCCCATGAGCAAGGAATAATAGGGGAAATATCCCAGATCGTGGTATATTGAAGCTGATAGTGCCTGACCCAGGTTGCCCACAAAGAAGAAGAATTTGAAGAAATTGCCCAAAGGTGTCTGACCAGACAAGCCATGTTCCAGCTGCGCAGGTCTTTAAACCCCAAACCCCCCTCCTTTTTTGGCCTTGCAACCACTTCCCATAGCACCTTTGCCTTCTTCCCCACCTCCCCTGAACTCCATAGGAAATCAGAGCAAACCTTCTCAACCATCTTCAACACTTTATTTGGAATTTGAACTATCCCCATCCAATACTGAGTAATACTGGAAATTACAGCAGATATAAGCTGAAACTTACCTGCATATGATAAAGTTCTCACCTTCCAACCTTTAATTCTAGCAGTAATCCTATCCACCAAAGCAACACAGTCTGCAGAATTTAACTTCCCAGCAATCAATGGAATTCCCAGATAGCGCACAGGAAGCTTTCCTATAACAAAACCAGTACTAGCAGATATAAGAGCTTGAACATTTGGATCCACCCTCCACAAAAGACTTCACTCTTTGCAGGGTTACACTTTAACCCAGAAACAGCATAAAAAGCATCCAGGATTGTTTTTGTTTGCCCCACAGCTTCAGGAGTCCCTTTAGTGAAGATCACCAGATCGTCAGCAAAGCACAAGTGGGACAAACCTATTCTATGAGTCTGGGGATGAGGAGGGAGGGTTTTAATAGCATTAAGCTTTGTTAAGCATGCAGGAGAGCACTTCCATAGTTATAGTGAAGAGATAAGGGGAGAGAGGGTCCCCTTGTCTCAAGCCTTTCTGCGCAGGAAAATATCCACAGAGCCCTCCGTTGAAGCACACACTCAATTTTGTACTTTGGAGACAAACTTTAATCCAAGTTATGAATTGAACTGGAAACTGCATAGCTTCCATGACAGTTTCTAAATAACACCAATCAACACTGTCAAATGCTTTCATCATGTCAACCTTGAGAGCATACCTAGGGGAGATATGCTTCCTATTATACAATCTAACCATCTCATGAGCCAGGAGAATACTATCACTAATCAGCCTGCCTTTTATAAAAGCAGATTGGTTCTGACTAATTACAAAAGGGAGGACTTCCTTCAATCTGTTAGCAAGAACTTTGGCAACACACTTGTACAGTATATTGCAGCAAGAGATAGGCCTAAATTGCTTCATACAATCCGCATTCAGCACCTTAGGAATAAGAGCTAGATATGTAGAGTTTACCTCAGAGAGTAGCTTCCCTATTCTGAAAAAATCCAGGACACCAGCAGTGAGTTCATCCCCTAGAATCTCCCAATTATACTGAAAGAAGCCTGCTGTGAAGCCATTTGGCCTAGGTGACTTCTCTCCATTCATAGAGAATAGAGTTGATCTAACCTCCTCTCTGGTTATTGGGCTGTAAAGGAGTTCTGATTGGTCAGAACTGAGTCTATGGACTAATAACTGGGCCATTAGACTACTACTAACCCTCTGGATCTCAGGATTCTTTGTACCCAGCAGTTTGTGATAAAATCTAACAGCCTCCTCACTCATGTCTTTGACTTCAGTTAAGACTATCCCCTCCTCTGAGACAACCTTTTTAATAGTTGAACGAGCCTGACGCATCTTCACATAGTTGTGGAAAAAAGAGGTATTTAGGTCACCTGTCTTGACCCAAAGAACCCTTGATTTTTGCCTGTAAATCACCTCTTCCTCCTTAAGGAGAGCCAAAAGTAGGACCTGACAATCAGTCACTTTCTGGAAAGATTCAGAGGAAGGCTGAGAGAGAGCTTCTACCTGCAGCAGTTCAAGTTCCCTCTTTGCAAGTCTTACCCTCTCAGAGATCTCCGAGTAAGAAGATCTATTCAGCTTTTTCAACTGCCGTTTAATCTCCCTCAACTTCTGGCACACTATGAACATAGGAATTCCTTTGTAATTCTTGCTCCAAGCTTCTTTTACAATCTGCTTGTACTGAGGATGAGATTCCCAGCTGCTGAAATACTTAAACGGTTTTGGCAGAGAGGAAATATGAATATCAGATGTCATAAGCAAACCACAATGATCAGAGAGTCTAGGGGGGAGGAGTTTAACTGCATAGTGAGGAAAAGTAGTCAACCAGCTAGAATTTACTAACACACGATCTATCCTCCTAGCAATAGATTGACCCTCGTCAGTCGCGTGCACTGTTTTTCACTCATGTAATTCAGCCCCGATGCCTAAACATTCTACTTCTAGCGCCTGTCTGTCTGTCTGCTGTGTTCTCTTTCTCATGCAAATAGGATATATTATTACATTATTATACTAGCACTTGCTTGTGCTTTGGGGTGAATTAAAAGTTATAATACGCTTTCAAATTAAAAAAAAATTATAATTATACTTGTAGAGTTACGGTATAAAAAAAAAAGCAAACAGTGGCGGACCCAGGATTGTTGGAGAGGTGTGTCGCCGATAAAATCCAATAATAATTAAATTAAATTAAAAAATTAAGTAGAAATTAAAAGAAATTGTAAACGAACCACGGTGACTTTTCATCTGTTGAAATGTCTCTAAAATACATTCATCACTTATGCTGCAAAGTCAATCTTTTTCAATATACACACCTAAACAATTATTCATAAATTGGTCACTCAACCGATTTCGAAGATCGTTCTTGATTATCTTCATAGCTGGAAATTCTCTTTCGCAGCTTGTAGTTGCAACAGGTAAAGTCAACACAAACTTATACAACAATTAAACTAAAGGGTAAAGAGTGTCCGCCTAGGCTATTGGCCATTTGGCCTGTGGGTTTTTTTTTCCTCTTTTAATTATAGGCCAAAACCCAACACACATCACACATATATATTGTATGGGCTGAGAGGCTGTTTTTTTTAATAGGAAGTGATACGATTATGATTAATGAGTTATTTTAAACAAAATTAAAAAGGATTATGATTAAGATTGACTCATTTGGACAATAAATTCTTCAACTATAATGAAGGTGTGTCGGCTATCCCAAAATAAAAAAATTTGTACAAAAAATGTGTAGATTTTTCGCAAAATTCTCGAGCGAGGGTGTGTCGTCCAGCCTTCGGTCCGCCACTAAAAGCAAATATATTATTAGAGCTATTATTTTTAGAATTATTACACCATAAGTTCCCAAAAATTACCAAAAATCGAATTTTTTGGGTCCCCTGTCTGTTTGTGTCTAGGAATTCCAGATTGTGAATGTTGGGTGTTTGCGTGAGAGGGCAAGGCGAGCAGGAAGGCTAATCTGACTTAGGATCTATGGACATAGAAGAGCTTATAATAGTTTTGTGTTTGCTTGATGGTCCAAATTATTAGACGACCTTCTATCAAACTGAGAGTTAGGAACCCATGAATAGGATTGATGGTACTAATTAATTACTGAATCGCTAAATGTCGTCCTTAAAATTGCTAACGGTCGCGCTAACTCTAATAATAAATGACTTATATACCCCAATAAAATTTCAAAATTTAAACAAACCAAACAATCCCTAACCCCTCAAACTGAACCTCTCATCTGCCTTCTTCGCGAATCCCTCTCGACGCACCAGTTCATCGGCGTCT